AAACGTGTGCATGTCACTGTGATGGAGGAGGCCTCATTCTGCACGCATGGCTTTGCCTCTTTGCCTCTGGCTCTCTGGCTCTGGTAGCGGAAGTGGCAAGAAAGGAGAGCAGCTGGACCTGCGTCTTCCTCCCTCACTGGCTCTCTGGCTGCCAAGCAAGCAAGCGGTGGTCCTGAGGAGAAAGCTGGGACCAGTCCAAAGTGGAAGCTTTACACGCACTATAGCCTGTGTTCACCCCACAAGCCTAGAAAGACCTGCATCATGAGTTATTGTGGCCTCATTTGAAGAGGGGGAGTCCTTTCTCATGTTGCCACAGTTAAATATTCAGAAGGAGAACATCCTTGTAAATTTATTTTCCGTCACCTAGTCACAGGTACTGTGCCCTTGTCTGTGAGCAATGTTAGAATGTCAATCTTCCCCGGAGAAAATGAGCAGCATATTGCTAACCAGGGCTGGGGCAGCCGGCCTACACAGCTCGCTTTTGCAAATGTTTCATTAACTGGCTGATCGGGAAGCCTCAAGTTTGGGGAGGGGGCCATGTGCCAACTGGCTTGCAGCTCTGTCACCAAGGTGACAGGCGGTGTGGAGACGGCTTTGCCTCGTGGTCTGTGGTGCCTTCCCTCCAGACAAAGAATGCCTCCTTTATCGGTGGCGCTCCTTGTGGTTTGTTACCTTAGCTACAGAGGTGGCTTAATGCAGCTTCATGAACAAAGGACTTCACGTCTGGGACGTCAGAAGCTGGAGGAAACTTTTTGCCGTCGTCCGGTTCAGATGCACTGGTCAGTGTTAACTGACCCGATGGGACCCCGCAGCCATCTGTTGACAGGGGAAATGAGATGGGAGGCTGTTAAAATCCAGATGGTGAGCACAAATGGCCCAGGATCAAGACGTGTGGGCTGAAGCGTACCAAAAGTGTTCTAGGCACAATCATATTTTATTGATTGTATTTATATGCCACCTTTCCCCCCACCTTCTGTCCTTTCAGGGAACTCAAGGTGGCTTACATAATTCCACCTCCTCTCAATCTTACCCTCACAACAACCCTGCTAGGTAGGTTGGGCTGAGAACCTGTGACTGGCCCAAAGTCACCCAGTGGGCTCCACGGCTGAGCGGGGACTCGAACCCAGCTCTCCCGAGGCCCAGCCCCACTCCAGCCTCCTGGCTTATCTCCTGGCATGCCTCCTGGCCAAACCCCGCTGAAGTGCATCAAGGGCAGCTCAAATCCAGTTAAAGTTGCAGCAGAGTGAGGAAGTGGAGGTGGTAAAGTTGCGGCGTATGTCATTATTACACTGCAGGGGTGTGTGTGACATTTTGCATTGCTTCCCCCTATATTCAGAGCTTCCTGCAAGCAGAAAACTAGCACAGGAAGGAGTAGTTTTTTTACTTGCAGTTTTTAAAGTAGAAGAATGCATCCACACCTCCCTGTATAACAGAACAGTACATATTACCACTTCAGGACCATGTCCCCCCCCCCCCCCGCCCCCGGTTCACTGCACAGGTGGAGCGAATAAAGATTTGACCTCAGTTCGAGAAATCTGGCTCTTGTTTCACAGGTACTTGTTCCTTTTGATTGTGGGATCTTTGTTCACCTCGTCCAGGGATGGTCAAGCAAAAGAAATATATAAAAATAAGATCTGCGAAACGGCCTGGTTGGTTACAGTGTTAGGCTCCAGTCCAAACATCAGATGGGCTTTAAAAGCATGTTTGCAAAGCTGGTTTGCCGCAGCAGCATGTTAACCCTGCTTTCGGAGTGTTGGCCCTTACTGAATCCTTTTATGCATGATGTAGGAACTTCCAGGATTGAGGGACAAAGAATGACTCGCCTCCCCTATCTCCCACCTGCTTCAAACAGAGAGGAATCAGATGTGTTGTGGCCCCACAGTTCACTACTTTCCAAGCCTTTCAAGTGCAGTTGATGATTATTTCTGTATTTATCGCATTTCTATGCCGCCCCATAGCCAAAGGCTCCCTGGGCGGCTCACAGTGTGCCATATAAATATATTTAAAATGCAGATAAAAATAAGTAACAATAAGAAACAAAATCATAAAACATAGTAAAATTAAATACACTATATATTGTTGTTGCTGTTAGTCGCGAAGTCGTGTGCGACCCCATGGACAACATTCCTTGAGGCCTTCCTGTCCTCCACCATCTCCCGGAGTCCACCCAAGCTCACACCAACACACTATACATACGGCCATATAAATAGGAAACAGGAGGAAAATAATATAACCAAGAACAATAACCAATAAAACAGTGAAGCAGCAGGAAACCAATAATCCAATCTAAAAACAGAGACTAAATGAAAAAGTCTCGACTTGGTGTAAGAAGCAAGATAAAGTGGGTGCCAGTCGCACTGCCCTTGGAAGAGAATTCCAAAGGTGAGGAGCGAGGACTGAGAAGGCCCCTTTCTTCGCCAGTTTCCCCCCTCATCTCATTTGGGGGTTGCTACAAGTCAGCAAGAGCTAAGCAAAACATGACATCCATTCTTTCTTTATCGCATCCTGTTTTTTGAAAACCGAATTCTTTATTAAATCTCCTTAAGACTTGCATCACTTCCAGACAGATTCCTTTGGACTCTCCTAAGGGCACAACAACATTACACCAATGAAATTTCCTGGATGCTCCACAGGGACAGCGTGTGTTGCCTGAAAGGAATTCAGAGCACTGCTTAATCTCCGTCAAAGAGCAGTGTTGTGTCTAGGTGTGGCTGAACAGATTGCATGTAGGTGGGCTAGATTATGCAACTTGAAAGCCAGTTTTTGTGGCACATGGATATGTTTAGTCAGTCGAGGCCCTTCTCTCCTCTGAAGTGGAAATGCCAGAATCAAGGCATGGGTAATTCCCCCCCCCCCCACAGCGCACAGATATAGATGCTCTCATACCTGGTGCATCTCCTGTGTTTGTTCAAAGAGCCTTTTGACTGTCTTTGTGGTTGAACAGGTTTCTGCACAGGACACCCCATTGGATCTTCTTTTGGTTCAGCAGTTTTGCTCCAGGAAGGTCACGCCCTTAAGTTTTCAACAGCGTCTCTCTTCTCTGCTCCGCAGTGTGGTTCCTGCCTTCCTTCAGCTGTCTCTGTAGCCTGGGGAGGGGGCCAGGGAGCAGGGAGATGGCTTCAATTTCAGGAGAGACTTTTCGGACAAAGGGAGCTTTGATTAGGGCAATACTGCGGCTAGGATCCATTTGATCAGGGCTTGGTTTTTCTTATTGTGCGTGTTTCCTTCTCTGCAGCCACCTCCCCTGAGGTGGGCACGGTTTAGTGGCTCCCCCCTCTCCCGAGCGATGTGAATGATTCTGGTTCCCTGTTGGCCTTCTTCTGGCAGTTGGAGCACGACTCCCGAAGTCCAGCAGCACCTCCTAGCTGAGCTGGACGGTCTCTGTCCTAGCCTCTCCAAAGCAGAACCCCGGACGGGAAGGCAGGGTGCCATGCTTCCCGGTATCACCTGCAGTGCAGAAGGTATTCGGGAGCACGCGGGGTGTGCATCACCCCCTCCATGAAAACAGCTGCTCTTGAGCTGTACCTGAACCTGCCTGTTGAGGCGCGAGGGGGCCAGCTTCCCTCCCCCCTCCCTCCAAGGAACTTGAAGCGCTGTGGTTCCTCCCCTGCCCATTTAACCCCCACAGCCGCCCTCTGAGGCTGCGGCCCCCTGTGACCTCGCGAGCTGTTTGGCTGAGGGAGGGCTTGATGCTCCCTCTCCAGGCTCCTCGTCGGACCTGTGGGCCACTGTGCCACGAGGCCTGGGCTCTTGCAACATCAGCCTGTTGATGCACGCGCTTTCCTTTCTTCTTCGTGTCACTTTGCAGTGAGACTATTTGGAGGTCGGTCTTACGCTTACCTTGGCCCTTCTCTGGAAGCACCACGGTTTTTCTGTTCTGATGGGGGTGTTGCAAGGAAACACGGTGTGCTGTATGAGCGTGCCTTGAATTAGTGATCTTCCTCTAGATTTTGAAAGGGCAGGGTGGGTAGGGCTGACCTGTAGAGAGATGAAGGAGAGCCACGTAACCCAGAGAGATGAAGGAGAGCCACGTAACCCAGTCTTTATGCATCACCAAAGAGGAAGACACGGTTTTGCATAAGATGATCATTTGCTAGTTTATAAGTATACGTGCAAAATTGGAAAGAATCACTAATATTTTCAGAAAAATACATTGCTCCTCACCGTCGCAGGCAGTGACCGGCCGACCTGTGTGCCTACCTGCTTAGTCGGTTGTCAGGCAGTGAAGGGCAAATTCTCCCAGTGAGGCAGTTGCTTCCCTCACCGGATGGAAGCCAGGGAGCCCTTCAGACTGGGTGCTTCCAACTAGAGGATTGCTCTCTGTAAAGTAGGGCACACAGCAGCCCTTAGAGTAAAACTGCACAGGAGTTACCTAACATGCAAGGTGCACAAATAGTTTAAACGGAGGAATGTACAAGGGCCAGAGTATGGGGGTTCATCAGGGGAGATGTTGGTTGAATTCCCACACAGCTCTTTATGCCTTTTGTGGGCATAAAGTGGGGAGAGCTGTAGCTTTGGGGACTCTGTCGATCCCAAGGATGTCCTGTTTCAAGGGCCTTCCAGTTTCTGCTGCTTTAGCTTTGAATCTAAATGTATTTCTGGAATGTGAATACCATGAATGAAAGAATGGTAAACATAGTTGGAATTGTAGGACAGTGTACAAACATCAGTAAATATACTAAAACACTACATTCATGATCAAGAAATAAAAGCACTCAGAATTCAAATAGCGCTAGTCATAACAATGGAGCTGACATTATCCTTTCTGAGTTCTGGCAGAAATGCATTTCTTGCTGATGTCATAAATACCTAAAATCCTTTCCTACATTTGGAATCCAAATAGCATTTGCACGTCGAGGTTTTTGATAGCACGCAGAGAAGAGGCTTGGAGGTCCACATCACAGTACTCACGTCACTGGCAACCCCAAAATTACTGCCTCATTGAACTTAGTTTGTTGGCTTCGAAGCCTCTAAACCGGTCCTCGTCTTGTGTCTTGCAGGTAGAAGACGCCATGCTAATGTTTGACAAGACCACCAACAGACATAGAGGTAAGGGGGGAAATGATCCCCAAGGCTGCCATGGATTTTCCAAATGGGATATGAGGGTCCTTCGGCTTCCCAAGGCCAACACTGTGTGTGTTGTGCTCTGGATGATTTCTGAGTGAAACAAAGATCAGTTGCAAGATCCCAAAACGTTCAACATTCACTGTTAGTTCCCTTCCATAAGAAAAGCACTGTGAATCGTGACTTTTTCCTTCTCACTGACTGATATCCCACAGTGACAGTATTTGGTGTCTGTTTTTAGGTGAGGCTTTCCAAGTCATACATATGAGTTACGTCCTTGGTTTTTGGTGTTGGCGCAGTGGGGCTTTGGGCACGTACGAAAAGCAGGAGAACACTGGGCTGGGTCAAAGCGTCTCCTCCATGATGTTCCCTGCTGAAGGAGGTGCCACGGGCAAACCCATACTAGACGGTGTCCAGTTCAGCCTCACTCTGTCGTCCCTCTCATACACTTGACCACCAGTGTAGCCTTGGCATCCCTCCTCTTTATGAAAACGTTTGTATGGCTATTTAAAAACTGTAGACCAGGGATGTCCAACCCATGGCCCGCGGGTCACACATGGCCCAGGAGGGCTACAGATGTGGCCCAGTGTAAAATGGTGAAGTCGGAAACCTTGAATCTCCCTCGCTGGAAGCACGCAGAGCGTTTCTTGAACAGCTGTGCGAGGCTTTTGCAAGCACGAATCTGACTGATTCCCATGCACTGTTGGAACGTCTCCTGTTGATCAGAGTCCCACAAAACGTCGAGCAGGAGACGGTGGTAAAGAAAGACATGAAAGCAAGCAGAGCAGATCTTTGACTTTGTGTTTGGAAGCCAATGCCCTTCATGTTGGGGATGCTAGAGAGCTCTGACTCTCTTCATTGCTTGCCCTTGATGACTCTTTGTGGTGGGCCAAAGTCTCACTGCGCATTTGCACCAACATTGATTTGTGTAGCATATGTCGTGCCTCTTCTACACATAAAGGGTTTAATCCTTGCATCTGGGCCCACGGAATACACTCTGGCAGTGTAGCGGGCTGGCCAGAACAGTTGCTTCTGGCCTTTCTGGTTGATTTAAGACAACTCGAAATCACTGGGCTGTGGGTGGGATAATGAAGGGTTTATAACTCGGCAGCTTTACTTAGAAGTCCAACGGCCTCTTGAGCTGCAGTGGGAACTCAGGGTGCCTCTCTGCTTGGATGTGGCTACCAAAAGACAGCTCAAGGAAAGGCTCAGTGCTCATGTTTCGGGGGATGCAGCTTGGGCAGGGATGATAGCTCTGGACTTTGGGGGCTGCTCTGTAAAATGTAAGCAGCATGGTTAATGATGCATGAACAAACTCAGTGCCGTGTCAGCCAAGTGTCTTGGAGGAGACTTGGGTCTGATGGCCTGCCTCCCGGGCCACCGGTTTGGACTGCATTATTTCAAGTGTTTACATCCACGTCCTCTTAGCCAGAGGGTTGAAGCCCCCGGCTCTTGCGTAACGTGCTTTCCCGCTGAAAAAATGCCGCAAGGTTTACTGCCACCTTCTTCTAAAATCCTTGTTCTTCACTCATTTGTTTTGCTTTCTCCCCTGGAAGTTTTCAGCGTGAAAACAGTTTGAAGAGCAGGCATGCCTGCCCAGGTGAAGGCAGATTTGTAGCAATCTGTGTTTCGGAATTGCCAGTTGGCATTTTTGGCGAGAAGTAAGTGTGCTTTCCAAGTGGATGTGAGACCTCTCTTTTGGGGGTGCAGTTGATCCCGACAAAGGAGGGTGGCCGAGGTTTCCTGTCTTCCATGGCACCAAATCCTCTCTGCTTGAGCAGGAACTGCTGCTACCTCTCCTCCTCCCTCCTGCAGCCACATGCAGCATTTCTCACACTGGAATCCATTTAAGACTTGGGTTCGTTCGTTCTTTTTTCTTTAAACCTGAAAGCCTGACAGCTTGCAAAGACCTAATGAGAAGCTGTTTGACGGGAAGCAGCCAAATAGCCCTTGTGTGGTCCCCACGTGCTGTTCCCCGCAGGCAGCACAAAGGTGACAAGTTTTCGAATGGAAATAGCAAAGGTGCTTTAGTGTCAAATTCTGGGGCTTGATTTTTCTTGTTAAGGGAATATATATATATATTTTTTTTTTCCAGAAGGATTAATTAATGCCCCTGAGGCAGACTACAGTAACTTCTTGTTGGCACTTTTTCTCACCTGTAGCTTCGCTGACGTGTGAGCTGGGAGTTCCCACCTTTCTCTCCCCCTCTGGTTGGAGCTTCAGGTTTCACCCTCTGGTGAAGATCGCGAAAGGTGCTGTCAGACAAAATGAGGCTGTGGCTGACTTTGTGGTGGGCTTCCTGGCAGTTCAGCTCCAGGCATGCTTCAGCAAACTTGAAAGCAGTGTCCCTGCAGGGAAGGATGCGGCCGCCTCTCTCTGTGAAGCTCTCTTGGTTGGATGAAGAATTGGATTGGCATCTCCAGGCATCAGTGTGGCTATCACTCCTTCACACATTCCAAAAATGCTTTGTGCTCCCCCCTTTTCCCTTTGTCTGGCTTGCATCAGAGTTGAGAAAACAAAGGTGTATGGCAAGCTGAGCCCCCATTTTCTCTTCTAAACTGAGGTTAGGCAAATGTCTCGAAGGGAAGTGGGCCTCGATTGGCTAGGAACAGATGTGTAGGAACACAGAAAGAGGGCCTAGCAAAGAGTTGCTCAGATGGAGCAATCCAGCCATCTTTTTATCCCTTGGTGGCACCTGATTATCCCCCCCCCACCCCCGGGCAATCTCATGGCTTGCCAGGCAAAGAAGATAATGGATGCCTGTTCAGATCCCTAATTGGAATGGCTCTGAATTTCTCTTTTTCAACCAGCCTTCCAGATGGTGCACGGAACTAGCTCCTAATAATCTACAAGGCTTGCTCTACTAGTTGAACAATACCTAATGCTGTAATACATTTGCAGAAGCGTCTGAGAAGTAGGGCACGGAAGACTCGGGAAATTGGTAACTTCATTAGAAGCATCTTTTCAGGGTTTTGTGTGTGGAGATTCTCAGCGGTGCCAAATAGCTTGCTGTTGGAGATCTATTCAGAATGAAAGAGCAGAAGAGAAAAAGAAAATCTAACAAAGTTCCTAAAATGCCTGTGGTTATTATTATTTTTTTAATTTTGTTTTTATACCAACCAATAGCCAAAGAGCTATATAGGAGGCTCACAGCAATTTGTAAAAAAAAAACGGGAAAACAATACTATACAAAGAGCATAACACTTGATGGCCAGAAGTTAATGCCAAGGTTCTTCCCAGAAATGAGTTCACATGATTTTGAAGTAGTGCCCTGTTTGCACAATCGCAGCAGGGCTAGTAAGTCATGGCGGCCTACATCCCTTGCTGGCAACACTGGTCACATGCTGCAGAATTAGCCTCACTGACACAGCTTGAGTGAACCAGGTGAAGATGCCCCATCGCTGTGGATAACGAGCCATCCCAGAACCTCGGACAACTTGCAGGTCCAGGATGGCACAGAGCAACAGGTTGCAAGTCCCCTGAGATGTGCCCAACAGAGGCAGCGGGGAAGATAAGCCACTGTGTGGCTGTCCATTCGGAAACTTCCAAACTCAACCCCCAAACTCCTCAGTGGTGGAGAACTCTCCAATTTGCACATTTCTGGACTTTTTCGGTGGCTGCACCCCAAGCTCTAGAACTCCTGGCCAGAGTGGGACAGAGGTGTCCCAGCAAGGCTGTCTGTTTGCCCGTAGGAAAAGTCATCTTTAGCTAGTTAAACCTGTTAGTCATTAGTTTTGGTATAACTTTATTCTGGATACTCAAAGGCCTTTGTAAACCTCATATCCGTCCATGCTATAAATCAGAAATTTATAGAATACAATGCTCTCTAAGTGCATGCATAAATACTTGCCATAAGTAGCTGACTTTTATAAATGCTGCAAGTGGGTTTAACTGCTTGATTTTATTGTTGGTGTTTCCCCTGTTTTGCCTTGACTTTATAACGCTGCTTTTACTTTGCATCTTGTTCTGGTTTTACTGTATTCCTCGATATTTGTATCATTAGTGCCTTGAGCACCATTTGATGAAAAGGGCAGTACAAATTTGACAATACTTGCAGCTTGGCCAAAAGCAAACAGATCATACCTTTCAGCAATTAAGGATAGGAGGGCAAGCCCAAATAATTTTGGGGCTGACTTAATTTGGAACTGGTGCCAATGCTGATACTCTTACTTCTACTGCCACCCCATTGCTGAAGCTCTCTGGACAGTTTACACAGTCCATACAGACAGATGATAAAAATACAATAAAAGTATCATAAAATCAGAAAAAAATCAAAAGCTTTAAAACAACTAAAATCAGATCATCAAAACTGACAATAACAACAAATAACAAAAAATTGACTCCGTGAAATATCTGGTTATCCCCCTCAAGTCGGTTTTCACACTGGCCTGTTGCACAAATCCCACAGTTGAGTTGGTCACAGGTGCGCAGGTACCGACTCCATAGAGGCTTGCTACCTGTGGCAGGTGTGCTTGCTCTCCTCCCTTTGGGGCATGGCCGATTTTAAGCCAGCCTGTGTGTACAGGGTCAGAGCTGTGCTGGGAAAACATCGGCATCTCTTGGTCTTGCTCTTTGCAGCAGCTGGGTAGCGTCACAAGGAGCGTTGGTGGCACAGGTCCTGCTCACCTGGCTAGCAAGTGCAGGACCCCCCAAGTGGAGGGCGAGCCAGTGTAAATTCTCTAAGAGGAGGGCCAGGCCTGGGCAACTTGGTTTACAGCTGCACTGCACTGCAGAGCACGGACTCTGCAATGCTGCGCAGGTCAGCTGGAGCCCAGGGATGTCAGTTACCTGACTAGGAGTATATCACTTTGCTCCAGAGTGTGTTCTGATCTGAGTGGCACTCCTGCCCTGCTTTTTGGAGAGAGAGCAGGTGGATTGATTTTGGCAGCACCTGGGTGGGTGGTGAGGCTAAGACGGGTCCTGTTCTGGGTACAGGCACCTTGTGGACTGCCCGAAGTAAGGAGGGCATGCCAGACTCTCGTCCT